AAAATATTCAGTTTTAAGATTTTCGTCTTGGTATTTTTCTCTGACTTAAAGGAATAAAATCCTTTGCATTTTGTGACCTGAAAAAGTTTAAAGATTTCTCGTTCGCATGTTGCTTTCATCAGCACGTGTTTCAAACAATGTAAATAGATGAACCGATCGACAACATATTTTTTACCTGATACCGATATGAGTCAAAAATTCGCTCGAGTTCATTGTTTGTCTTACCCATGACTAACTTTTCTGCATGGACGATAACTATGCCGCTTTATAACTCCTCCGAAGTTTTCGTGCCAGCTAAACAATATGGAATCACTATTCACAGTCCTTGGATATTAAAAAAGACTGAACGTGACGCACTATTGTGACTTTGTTTACTTCTGATCACATCTTCAAGCGAAGTCTCTCTTTTCAAGCGATTCATCTCAATGTACAATAATTGAGTTAAAACCCTATGGTTCATTTACTGAGTATGTTAATGCTGTTTTTGCCCCTCACATTGACTGTGTTCGTTCGTATTCAAAACGCCTTTAGGAAAATAAAGGTCACATAAGTCATGTGTACTATGTTTCGAGATAAATGGATTATACGGCTTTTTAAAGTTTCCATTTTGCGGTGACTTCAGTTTACATCTCCATAAAATGATAGAAGAAATATCAAGAAACATCACGAGAGCTGAAAATTTTCAAAGGCATGTTTCAGGAACTCGCTAATGCTGACATCAATATAGCGTGCTTGCTGAATGGGCGAAAACACAGAATTGTGATCACAAGATCATGTACAAATTTAATGATAAAAGCTTAGCAAGATACAGATACAAACAAAAGCAAACCCCCTGAAACCTCAACGTGGGCTACACTTGTATGCTCTACTCAGTCACCAAAAATTGTCAGTAATAGCTCCTATTTTCCTCAAGTCAAGCCTTGAACTTGTGAGCGAAATCCGCTGAGTTCCTATTTTTCCCCGTGTCTTCTTTATCCACAGTATCCGAAATTTAGACCTCCAAATTAAATAGAAGGAAATATTTAAAGGAAAAGCCAGTCTTCTAACATGGCAAAGTTGTCACGTCCCTCGCTCATGGACGTGCGTAACATCAGGATTCATCTGACATTCATCGGCAACTGAGTTGTTCGCTTCACTGACTACGACAGCTTACAATCAAGTCTTCAGCCATAGTTTTGTCAACTGATGAAATACTTTGCTCATAAATTGTGCTTCTTAATTGCTCATGTACTACATCGATCGATAATTCTCTCTTTGAGTTCACGAAGCGCCCCCGGCGTTCCAAACCTGACGCTCACAGTCATCTTTTGGTGTGAACCTACCATGAACGGCGTGTCGGTTTGTATGCAACGTGAGCATTTCTCTGAGTTTCCCAGCGCCAACATCATCTGACTTAAACTCGAACAATAAAAAAATTATAGAGTGACTCCTATGATCGAATCGCTTCGAACAACGCAAGTAGCCTTCTTCAGGTTCGCAACGCCCTGTGGATTTTTCTTGGGGAGCGGAGAAGAGGTACAAAAAGTATCCGTGCAAGGGTTCGTGCAAGAGAAAATCATATACCAGACCCTCGTGTCTTCCCTCCCCCGGGGAGACCACTTTTCGACACCGAGGACCGAAAACCGAATTTATGGGCACGATCCATGCAACCAAAATTTTCGAAAATTTCGGTCCAGAATTCAATGGATCGGTTCGGTCCAACCGGAAAAGTTTCGAAAAAACTGGTCCACCTTTTGAGGTGGACCACTTTTCCCGGTCGGACCGGTCGGAATTTTGGTTGAATGGATCGCGCCCAAAGACTGGGCCGCACAGGCAGCCCAGTAAAAAACCTTAAAGGTTCATAAAAGTTCACTCTAAAAATTTGCATGCACAAACAAAATTTATAAAACCATTACATATTTTGTTTTGTAGCCGTTTATTATCATTTGGTTTTGACTGGCAAGATAAAACGCGACCTTCAACCTGTAATATTCGATAGGCCATTTTGACACTTCATAAACATAAAAGGCGAAAAAACACCTTAACTTACAAGACTAACTATAAAATATCACCAAAATATTTTCTGTATATCGCATAGAAATACGCCAAATATCAAATCTAATTATAGATACAGCGATCTAAAGATATAAAGCAATAAATCCGAACCTACCTCCAGCTAGACAGCGCCATTTTTTTAGCCTGCGATCATGCCCTCTCCCTTTATCTCTGTAATCTGCTTTCGGGAGTACATACACATACACATTAGGAAAATAATTCGAAGTACAATGTACCACTGAAAAATAATTCATGGCATGAATGAAAAAAGTATTGTTACGTATAATTAAAACAAAAGTATTGTTTAGTGATGACAAAAATACACAACATGTCCATATTTGCTGCAGTTGGATTAAAATTGACTTGTGGTGCTTCATAAGAGGCACTGCACAAAGAGAAAATCAAACAAAACAAAACATTTTGGGTTGTAGTTTCACATCAAATACAACTGGAAATCTGTCTGCTTTCTCAGGCTAAAGCTTACAGTGATGAACTGATTCGAAGGTTATGCCTGTTAAAACACATTATTCATTATTTTTTCTAAAAACCTGTCTGTGAGCAGTTTCACGAAAATAATTTCTTGGTACAAATCTTCACATTGTCAACAACAAAAAAAAGAACGAGTAGATGATCAGTAATGTTATGTTCTGGAGTGACCATAGATGTTTTGATCAAACGATGATGTAGGGGCCAAGAAAATAAGTAATAATGAGAGGCCTGCCAGTCTACTCTCTAATTCTGTTTACATATAAGACATGTAAGCCTGGAAACGTCATTGGTCGAAGTAGTGTTAATCCAGTAGAAAAAACAGAAAATGATTACCATTACCATTACAACTTTCTAGTCCATACCACCATAGTTAGTAGAAACTATGATACCACTGAAAACCTGTTTAATATTTATATATTGTTTTATATAGTTGAATAGACTGATTAGTTACTCCTGGTGACCAAGTAAGCGAGTAAAGGATGCAGTGTCTAAATGCATCAGTCAATTGAAACCCTTCTTCCCCCCCCGAACCTCTCGGGCATAGCGGGGATTTAATGCAGCCAATGCCAGGATTTAACACATACTGTAAGATTTCGAAAATAAGCCCCTCCATGTATAAGCCACTCCAAATATAAGCCCCTGGGGGCTTGTACTTGGAAAGTTGCCCTCAAATACAAAGAAAAACAAAGCAAAAAAGGTAAATTTACTTCCAACTGTAAGGTTAGCCCATTTGATTTTGAAACGCTAATTTCCCTCCGTAGATAAGCCCCTCAAAAAGGGTCTTTGAAAAATATAAGCCCCGGGGCTTATTTTTGGAATTTTACGGTATTTAACAACATGCTGGCCCTGGGTGCAGTGGAATTAACAAAATTCCTGCTTGACCAAGCTCATCAGCAGGGATTTAACAGCACATAGTTTATACATTTTTGGAAGCAGGGACAGAGAGAAGGATTTGACATGATTGACTTAGGAGAAGCCCTTGTTTCCTCTAGGAGGTGGGGCAAGGGTTGTGCCATTGGTATGTTCCAACTGAAGGGTATGGTTTTCAAGCAGTTTACTCTGGGATAGGGTATAAACAGAGTTTGTATTCCAGGAAACTGATCAACTGGTTGAAGATTTTAGTTTAGACTAGGCAAACCGGGAATTGTCACTCAAAATTAGAATCAAAAGCAAGTTACTCAACAAAAGAAAACCCAGAATGAAGTTGATCGTCAGGACTAGACAATTAGTAAAGAAGCCAAGTCCCCACTCCTAAAATGTAAAAGCACACTGCAAAACAAAAGTAAACCTTGGAACAAATGGAAGGACTGTTAACAATTACAAAATTCAGCTAGGGGATGACATTTCTCCTGAACTTGATGTAACCCAGATGAGAATTTCTATTAACAGGTCCATTGGTTTGAAAATAAATACAGGGTACCAGACAGAAGAGAACGGTTCAAACCTAGAACTACAACTACTAATTCCCTGCCATAAGGTGCTTTTAACAAACTACTTGGCCCGGGAAGTGGAAAAATTAGTGGTGTTTTAACACCAGGCTAATGTTAAATTCCCCGCTAAGTCCCAGGGATCAGGGGCGGGGTTTCAATTGACTGATGTATTATTCTACCAGATGTTGAGAGGGTATTGAAAATAAAATACAGTGTACATACATGTACACTTGCAGGCTTGATAGTGCAGTTTAAAATTATCCCGTTGGTGTCTTGTTTCAAGGGTGTTACCCCCTCCCCCACCCCGGGACTTTCCTAACATATAACGTAACTTTCAGAAGGTGTAAAAAAAATTTACAAGGGCTGAAAAAATATTTAGATTATATGTTGTAGTGCCTCAAAAAGAGTGAACTTCTCCATGATCAGGCTTTTACGAGGTCATAGTAAGCTTAACAACTCTCAGTATACTTATATACGTCTTACTGAAGAACCAAAATTAAAACAAAACAGCTCATTTATAACAAATTTTTGTAACCAACTTCACTTCAACAAGATTGCAAAATTATAACGGAGGAAATTGATTCGAATAAATACACTGATAATTTTTGTGGTTCATTCCCTGACATTTATTATATGCTATATGGATTCTGTGAGATATAAACTGCTTTGGAGCGAAGCTACAAGTTTTCTCATGCTTTTTATCCAGAGAAAAACGAGTTTTTGTCTAGCGAAATCCGGCACCGCACTCACATAATTTTCCTAACGCGGATATACCAGTCATGAATTACGAATAGATTTTCGGTGTAAGGGCCCTTACACCCTTACAGCAGTTTCATATTATTTACGTTCTAATTCGCTTCGCTCAAACGAACGTAAATTATTTACCGCTTAAATAACCGCAAAAACCAGGCGATATCAGATATGGGTGGATCGCGTGCGAACCCTAACACTTTAATGAAAAGTAATCTTACAGCATTGGTAAAGGAAAAACAGATAACATATTTAAATATGAGCTAAATACCTAAATATTTCGTCACACTCAAACGATTACATTCTGTCTCTAAAACGTACATGTCTTTTGCTTCGTCTGTTTTCCAGCGCCGGCCCATGAAGTTTCAACAACCTCTCAGAAACGGCTTTGGAAGCGTTATTACTGATAACAGCTGTAGCACCCCCTGAACGCAGACTATGTAGGCCATATTCCTTGGGGTCATAGCCCAAATCTTTCAAAGTAGTCTTAAATATTTCCCTGCAGCGAGTATAGGATAACTTGCCATTCCTAAGGGTATAACCCGACTTGTTCTTCGTTAATGGCCTGAATAAAGGTAAGTGACTAGACAGATCCAAATTGGCTGCTTCAATATACCTACGTAAGATAGCTACTGGGCAGTATTTGTTCTCTAACCTAGCAAAATAAACATAATTGCCCTCTCTATATACATCCGTTTTACTCCTTGGCACAAAAAAAAAAAAACAAAACTATCGCAAAACGTGAGGTGTTTTGGCTGAATATTAGCCAACTCGTTAAAACGAGAAAATCCTGCAAAAACTAAGGAACTTATTGCGGCAATACGTAAGTCCTTTAAAGATGCTTCCTCAGCGCCATGTCTGTCAATAATGCTTCTAATGATAGGGTCTTGTGAACTGGATTGCTCCTTGTCCTCTTGGCGCACTCAATCAAGTTCTTGCAACAAGCGTTATCCAAAGGATTGGAACCATCATCAGGAACATTGCGGCCGGGGACCTAAGCTGTCGATCTAATCCAAATAGATAAAGGGCGACAACAGAAGAAGAAAAAGGCAACTGTAGCGCAATTTTCCGAGTCCTACTCCACAAAATCCGGCCTAATAGCAGGAGGGAGCACCATCCATGCATTACTTGCAACTACGACCTGCAAGGAAAAATTATATCACCAAAATTTTGCAACAACAGGATAGCAGCTTTAGGAAATGTAACAAGCGATGACAGCGATTCTAATAAACGGTCCCATGCCTATGACGCAATGTCTGCAGGCAGCATAATAGAAAGAAACCACAGCGACCTCCCTTGGGCAAAATAGGCATGCAAAATAGCTCCTAAAACAAAGCCATAGCGAATAACCTACAAAGAAAACTAATAACAAACGCGTAAAAACTGCATATATATCCTAAACGCGACTTGCTCTAGCAGATCATTTAAATCCCCCAAAAAGGCCCCATAAACGACAGGCAAACGAATATAAAGTAGGCAACACCCTGTCTAGGACACAGTCAGCTCGAACACTTAAATAACCTAACAATCAGCAAAAAACAAAGCTACAGCCTTGATTAAGAAAGGTAAATAACCTAAACCAACAAGAATAACGCAGCTCAACCTTGTGAAAAACCTTGGCCAGCAGTTGAGTTACGATTCGCAAACCAGTGTCAAAAAAGGACACAATTTTCCATACGTGACCAGGTCTCCCATTGTCGAGAGAACTCAAAAACTCGTTCTACTAACAAAAATCCAAAACGACAGAAATCTTCTCCAACGGACGCAGTCGTCCCTTCACATGACCAGTGTTATATACTCTGGACACAGCTGTCCATGCTACTAATGACCAGTGTCAAATCCTGCAAATACCAGTACTAAAAGCTAGTTCAGAATGACCTACTCTAAGGGCAATAAAGGTTGGATTATCCTAACAAAAATTCAAATCTAAGCGCGACAACCTCGCCTGTAAAACGAGGCGAACCAAGGAATGAACTTAAATTTCTTCCCAGGGTGAGGGCTTGGGATGCATTCAGCGTAAAGCATCCTTTCATGAACAAACCGATATTTACTAGTCAGAAGAGGCCAAAAACTCGACGAAGGCCATAATGGGACTACAAGAGTAGCCATTGCTTTCTGTAGGCTCAGATAATGGATAACGCGAGCGACAAGAGAAACTGGAGGAACCACTAAACAGTTCTCGGAACTTAACTCTTGGGCAAAGAAGTCAATTCCTGACGTACCAGGATTCCAGAAACGCGGAAAGAATCTAGGAAGCTTAGCTGTATGATAATTGGCAAAACAGTCAACTGTATGTGGGCCCCATAACTCCTCCAAACTTAGAAAAAGATCATCCGTAATTTGCCAATCGTCAAAATCTATAACGCGACTGATATAATCCGCCTTCTCGTTTTCAGTTCGTGGGATCCACTGCACCTCCAAACGAATAGAGTGCTCCGCGCAAAACTGAAAAATTTTAATAGCAACCCTGTGCAAATCCAATTTCATGCTACCGACTTCTATAATTCTAGCCGTCGTCTGGCTATCAGTGAACCACTTGACCGGTGAACCTTCCAAAATTGACGCAAAAGACTCTAGCGAAAAATCAATGGCTGCAAGTTCTCTCCAAGTAGAGCTCTTAGAACATTCTGAAGGCTCCCAAAGCTTGTGACACACACAATCCCCATTAAGGGTAATAACTGAACCGCACCCTGTAGCGCTGGCATCGGAGTAAGCGAAACGCTGTGGCTTTTTAAAGAGAAAACAATCGCGCACTTTAATGGAATTTAGGTTGTTTCTCCAAAAATATAGCTGCTCA